TTGGTTGCTTTTATAAACAGACAATCATTTATTTAACAGTGCCTTTTTAAAATAGACTAGTAGGCCTATAAGGCCTAGTAAAATTACCATTAAGTAGAATATTTTTGTACTTCACTTTCACAATGTCCATAATTATAGTGTGGTGACTCTGACATTACAATGAACAAAGTAATTATGACATTATGAAAATAAAAATAAAATAATAATAATAAGTTATTAAAACATCTAACATGGCCACCATAAACACATTTAATTTGTCTTCTACTTTTGCCAGCCCTCTCTCCTGGCTTTTGCAAACTTTGAGGTGTTCCTGTTAAGTTTAAGTCAGTAAAAAATGTGTTAATGTACATTGAACCTCTGTGCTGAATATTGTTTACGATTTCATATGACTGTTTACTAAAGGAAAAGGGGGACTCCTATTATGAAGTTCCCGGAAGTGTGGGGTTGTTGTTTTTGAGCGTACACCGCGGTGGTGTAACAGGCAATGTGAGCTAATAAACGGAGGATTGATTCTAAAGTGTATTTTTTGAGTAACATTGGTAGCAGAGGATGGTTAGCAACTATAGAACACCCCCAACCTTTGATGAAGGAAAGCCATATGAAAGTTGGAAGAATGAAGTCGCAATTTGGACCAGGGTTACGGAACTCGAGAAAAAAAAACAGGCGCTTGCTGTGGCTTTGGCGCTGTCTGGAAGAGCGAGAGAAACGGCGATGGAAATACCGGTAGACGATTTGAATAAGGACACTGGTATGAACACTTTACTAGTGAAACTCGATGATTTGTTTCTCAAAGAAGAAAAGGACCAAGTTTATGAGGCGTACTCGAGCTTTGACCGGATTATGAAAGATAGCAGTGTTTCCATGACAGACTATATAATTGATTTTGAACAACGGTACTCGCGGATGCGTAAATATAATATGGAGCTTCCCGACGCAGTATTAGAATTTAAACTGCTGGACACTGCGTGCTTAGAAGTGAAAGACCGACAGTTAGCTCTGACAGCATGTACAGATTTGAATTTTGCGTCAATGAAGTCAGCACTGAAGAGGATTTTCGGAGGAAAGTCCGCTTCTACTGTGGGGATTAATCAGGAAACAGCATATGTAACGGAACAAAGGCGACAAAGGAGCAAGCCATGGTCACAAAATGTTCAGCAAAAAACACCACTGCCTGGCAGCAACCCTCTGGACAGATATGGACGCAGATCAAAGTGCGCTGTTTGTCAAAGCACATTCCACTGGGCCAAAGACTGTCCACACAGAGGTGAGCAAGTCAAACTTACTGAAGATTGTAAAACAGATGATATAGAGGAGTGCAACATTACTCTGTATACTAAAGAGTGTCCCACTGAAGCAGAAATATTTATGACAGAGTGTTTCGGCTCAGCAATAATAGACACTGCATGCACACGGACTGTGTGTGGACAGGAATGGATAAACAGTTACATCGCTGAACTAAGCCAAAACGAGATAAAAGACCTGAGAAAGACAGAAACACCCAGTCACAGACCCTTTAAGTTTGGTGATGGAAAAGTGGTCTATTCCAACAGAAAGTTGAAAATTCCTGCAAAGATTGGACAAACTAAGTGTCATATTGAAACTGAAGTTGTGCCAGCGAAGATTCCACTACTCTTGAGCAAGGCATCCATGAAAAGAGCAGGGACAGTGCTGGATATGGAGAATGACAGTGCGGTGATGTTTAGTCAACCTGTAAAACTTGACTTTACAAGCTCTGGTCATTACTGTGTAAACATCATGGACAATGAAAAGAAAACCATTCAAGGTGACGAATGTGTCTTGGTGGCTGTTGAAGATGTCACTCTAACAGAACAAAAGAATGAGGATGTACAAAGTCAGTGTGAAGAGGAAATACTGACAATCTCAGAAAAAATTAGTTCAGCAGAAAAACACAAAATCCTGGTGAAGCTTCACAGACAGTTTGGTCATGCTTCTGCTGACAGACTGCAGAGACTTCTTACTAGCTCTGGGAATAAAGATGCAGAATGTAGTGTCATTCTGGAAAAAATTGTCAGTGAATGTGAAACATGTCAAAGATACAGTAAGACCAAACCAAAGCCTGCTGTTGGCCTACCACTGGCATCTCAGTACAATGAAACTGTTTCAGTAGATCTGCATGAACTTCAACCAGGTGTGTGGTATCTCCACATTATTGACCAGTTCACAAGGTTTAGTGCCGGCAGCATACTAACCACAAAGAAATCTTCTGAAATAGTGAAACACTTTGTCCATGTCTGGATAAGTGTACATGGTCCACCTCAGAAACTGTTTAGTGACAATGGGGGAGAATTTAACAATGATGAGGTTAGAGACATGGCAGAAAACTTCAACATAGAAATAAAGACAACAGCAGCATACAGCCCGTGGAGTAATGGACTTACAGAGCGACACAACCAAACACTTACTGAGATCATGATGAAAGTGAAGACAAGTAATGCCTGTGACTGGGACACTGCATTGGACTGGGCTCTTATGGCAAAGAACACTATGCAAAATGTCCATGGCTACAGTCCTCATCAGTTGGTGTTTGGACAGAATCCCAACCTGCCATCTGTATTAACCGACAAGCCCCCAGCTTTAGAGGGCACCACGAAAAGTGAGTGGGTGGCAAAACACATCTCCGCTTTACATGCATCAAGAAAGGCGTTCACTGAAGCAGAATGCTCAGAAAGAATACGGCGAGCACTACGTAAACAACTGCGTCACACAGATGAGAAATATGAAATGGGTGATAAAGTGTACTACAAGAGAGTTGATTGTCCAAAGTGGAAAGGACCAGGAGTTGTTATTGGCCAGGATGGTGCTGTGGTGTTTGTCAGACATGGAGGAACCTGCATTAGGGTACACTATCTCAGGCTAAGAAAAGTAAACACAGACAGTGGAGATCAACATGTCAGTAAGGATGATGCTGAAATTGACACAAACAATGAGCCAAGACAGGAGACGACAGAAGATTCTGGCAACAACACGGAGCGAACAGACACCGTAACCGAAATAGAGCAAAGTTCTGTGCAAACTCAGCACGCAGGGGTATCCACTATGGGGCAGAATGTAGCAGCACAACCCACAAGTGATGACATTGGGACACAAAGTGATACAGAGCAAGGAAAGGAGGTCCGTCTAAAAACAGGGCAAGTTCTAAAATACAGAGACCGAGACAGTGGGGCTTTTCACAAAGCAAAAGTAATAGGGCGTGCAGGCAAAGCTACTGGCAAATACAAAGACTGGTATAACCTTCTGCTCATAGAACCCACCAATGTTGCAGGCAGTAAAGATTCAGTTGACATATCATGTTTAGAGTGTCTTCAAATAGAACCTGCTGTTACAGATGTAAGTGTCACAAATGTCAGTGAGGATGTATTGGTAACAAAAGATCTGTCCTTTGACCTAGCCAAACAAGAAGAGTTGGAGAGATAACAGTGTGTTTGAGGAAGTTCAGGATGAGGGAAAAAAGTGCATCTCTACCAGATGGGTATGCACTCTCAAGGAAACACTAACTGGACTAGTACCGAAAGCACGATTGGTGGCCAGAGGTTTTGAGGAGTTAAATGTGTCAGAGCTACAAAAGGATTCACCCACATGTGCTTCAGAATCTCTTCGACTGCTGGTGGCAGTTATTTGTCAAAAACAGTGGACACTTCATTCTATGGATATAAAATCTGCATTTCTACAGGGAATAGAGTTGTCACGTGACATCTACATCAGGCCTCCCCCTGAGGCCGTCAGTGAAGGAACATTATGGAAGCTAAAAAAGTGTGTATATGGCTTAGCCGATGCTTCATTGTACTGGTACAATAGAGTCAAAGACATAGTGCTGAAAGCAGGAGGAAAAATGTCCAAGGTTGATCCAGCTGTTTTTTATTGGCTAGATCAGGACTGCATTGTCACTGGGGTGCTTGCCTGTCATGTGGATGACTTCTTATGGGGAGGCACGGAAAGTTTCTCCTCAACCGTAATACCACACCTTAGATCTGTTTTCCAAGTTGGACGTGAGGAACATGATCACTTCTGTTATGTGGGAATAGATTTTGTGACTATTGACAGAAAAGTACAAATACACCAGGAGAGCTACATTCAACACATGCAGCCCATACATCTGGATCCTTCACGAGCTGTGGAACAAGACTCATCTCTCTGCGAGGAGGAAAAAGATCAGCTCAGATCCAAAATAGGCCAAATTCTCTGGGTGGCAAGGCAGAGCAGGCCAGATGTTATATTTGATGCAAGCAATTTGACATCTAATATAAAAAATGCTACTGTGCAGACAATTCATGAAGCAAACCGGATAGTGTGCAAACTTAAGTCCAAGAAGGTAATTCTAAACTTCCAACACTTGGGCAGAGACAGTGCTCTTAAGATGGTTGTGTTCAGCGATGCTTCGTTTGGAAATCTTTCCGATGGAGGCACTCAAGGAGGCCACTTGATTCTTCTAATGGGAGAAAATGGAAAATTCTCACCCCTTTCATGGCAATCAAAGAGAGTCAAGAGGATTGTGCGGAGCACACTTGCTGGTGAAACTTTGGCAATGTCTGATGGAATTGACAATTGTATTTTTCTGTCCACACTGTTCTCAGAACTAACTGCTGGTGATGCTGATCATGCTCCACCAATAATTTGTGTCACAGACAATCATTCGCTTGCTGATGCACTTAAGTCCACAAAGTCAATCTCTGAGAAAAGACTCCGTCTGGAGATAAGTAGCATCAAAGAACTTGTACAAACACAGAGAGTAGAGCGAGTACTGTGGTACAACACAAAAGAACAACTTGCGGACTGTCTTACCAAGAAGGGGGCATCAGCTTGCCAGTTACTCAAGGCACTGAGTGAAGGACAATGTAAACTGAATTAAAACAAAGTCTATCTTTGAGTTGTACTCAAACTCTGGTTGAAATTTACCAGTTCGTATTTTTGTTCAAGCAGGATGTTGTTCAGTATGTCCTGTTAGTATGTTGACTTAAAAAAAAAAATTATAATATTTTTTTTTTTTTTTGAAGAGTGGTAGTTTGTTAAGTTTAAGTCAGTAAAAAATGTGTTAATGTACATTGAACCTCTGTGCTGAATATTGTTTACGATTTCATATGACTGTTTACTAAAGGAAAAGGGGGACTCCTATTATGAAGTTCCCGGAAGTGTGGGGTTGTTGTTTTTGAGCGTACACCGCGGTGGTGTAACAGGCAATGTGATCTAATAAACGGAGGATTGATTCTAAAGTGTATTTTTTGAGTAACATTCCCTGGCATTTTAATTAAAGACTGAAATTCGGCATAACCTTCCATTAAAAGTGCTTGCTCTGCTTGGGAGAAAAACTGGGCGTGTTCTTTGGCCATGCTGATGAACAGCCAATAGCAGCGTTGCTGATCACTGTTTCTGCTTTCGATACATGTACCCTTTTAAACCAATGCGAGAACGTGCAGTTATCTCAGATGACTCAATCCAGCTGTACTAATCATAAACAACAGGAGTGTTCAAAGAACCCAATTAGCCGGATCATGATTAGCACGATGATATCATCTTAGATGTCTCATTTGATCTCGGATGTTTTAAGCAACGTACGAAGAACAAGCCCCTGGCCTATTATCTGTTCACCGATGCCTACAGTGAGCCAACACTGACGCAATTCAGCTGGAATCGGACCAGCTGTGCTTGCAATCTGGTCGTCTGATAACAAAAATAACTAGGCCTAAACTAATTGTTCTGAGCAGGTGTTGTCAGTGAATAGGCTGTAAAACTATTGGCTTGTGTTTTTGTTTAAAAACCTAAAACGGAGAAGTTTAGAAACGCTGCAGCTCCATTTTGCGTTTTGAATCTCCGGAGGGCGTTTTAGTGAAGACGGGACAAAACGGAGGAGTTTAGAAACGATGACGCAGAGGCTCACGCTCGGCTCTATGATTGGGTTTCATCAGTCATGACGTGTCCTTCCCTGATTCGTCAGCCTGATTGTTTACACCAGCACGCGCAGGCCCAGTGTTGGTGAATGCCCAGATAGCAAAAATCATGCGGGCCAGATCTGGCCCAGAACCTTCATAAGTTCTGGGCCAGATCTGTAAAACGGACCTGGGCCGGTGTCCTTTAGCACAACGGGCCAATGCCGGTGCGGATCCGGTTTTCACAACTGGCCCAGCTCCAGAACAGATGAGAATTATTTTAGTTATTTGGCCCAAAGGTGGGCCAGATCTGGACCAGTTCCATACTGGATCCGGGCCAGATCTGGACAGGCACTGGGCCAGCTCCATTTATTAGTTCTGGCCCGGAATCACACCACCTCTGGCATCTGTCATAACCTTGATCTATACCACAAAACATTTTAAACCCGATTACTTTTCTTTCTTGGAGCACAAAGCATGGACAGTCAAAGCTGTTACACAGACTGTTTCTATTTGTCCTGCATAGAATTTCAACAAAGAAAGTGATAGAACAGATGAGTGACACATTTAAAATTTTATTTAAAATACACATTTTAACATTTTATTTTAAAATGTCTAAAAAATATTAAAAAAAAAAAAACAGGACAGAAACTGCTAACAGAACATTTCTACAGCTAATTTCTGCAAGCAGCAAACAGCCCTCACATAACGTCCAACAAACATGGAGAGTGTGGGATGGCCGATGCGTTCATTCCTGCAAAGTATAAAAAGAATGTAAGAACTCAATTGATAATGGCAATCACAAATTACATAAAAATCCACTGAGATTGGTAATATTAAAGGGGACTAGGCTGGAAGATTTGACCTAAAATCAAAATCCAGATTAAGAGAACATTTTACCACAATTACAACTAATGAATGATTATCTTGTACCGCAAACATGCTCAACTGTTGTAGTTGGGGTGTTTTTTGTAGTTAAATCTGTATCTGTATTGCATTTTCAAACTTCAAACAAAAATCATTAAAATTAACAAGTTAATAGATGTTTTCTCTGGAATTATGTTGGTTTGAGGTGAAAAAAGTTAGTCTGGAGCCCTGGTGGTCACACCCCAGCGTAACAGCGTGAGAAGATGGCCTCCATTGTAGTCAGCGCTCAGTTGGTTCAGTTTGTCATTTGCTAAGTGATCGTAATAAATAATCACATAGCAGGCATGTGATTGGCTAAGGACAAAAAATCAGGAAAATGTACCGAGCCCCCCCCCCCCCCCCCGATCAATATATATCACAATATCTTTTCCGCAAAATGAGAGCAAATGTTCAATCAAAGTCAAATATAGTCTTCACTGTATAAATTATACATTGATTCTTATTAAAGCTACTATTACAGTTCTCAGTCAAGAGCAGTGAGTGATTTCCTCTGTGTTTTGTTGTTTAATTAACATTAAATAGATAGTTCTCCCCAAAAAAATAATTTTCATCATTTACTCTCTCAAGTTGTTTTAAACCTGAAAAAGTTTCTGTCTTCTGTTTAAGTTATATAAGTTATTTGGAAGAATGTCGGTAACCAAACAGTTGAGGTACCCCAGTGATTTTCATAGTAAATTTTTCCCTATGGAAGTCAATGGGGACCAGGAACTGTCTGGTTACCCACATTATTCAAAATATCTTCTTTTTTGTTCAGCACAAGAAATAAATTAAAACAGGTTTGGAACAACATTTACAGTGAATAAATAATGACAGAATTTTTATTTTGGGGTCAACTATCCCTTTAAGAACAAGCAGCTGCATTTTTATTATTAGGGCTACTGTCACTTTAAGACCTGTACGCGACACGTCTAATATACACGGAGCATTTGACAAGCAGATTTCTCTCAATTTTCTCGGTTTGCTTTGAATTTAGACATAACCAAATGTTTCTATGTAAACCTTGTGTGTATTTGAGAGTATTAGCGAAAACATACTCGAAAGATAACTTAGTCCAGCAACCAGGCGCTTTTAGACAAGCTTTTAGTGCATGTGCACGTCGGGTGTTCCCCGCAATGACATGTTTAACCGGCAAGGCTTTAAAGCACATGCAAATTAACTTTTGTGAACTCGCTGAACAGATAGCCGTTCCTCTGCGTTAATATTGCGAGTATTTGTCGCGTTGTACACTAATGCTGTTGAGACGGAGGTGTCAGGACTGCAACTGACAGAATGCACGATATAGCTGCTATTTCTACAAAAGCAGTCAGCAGCTTGCTTGGAGCAAGGATCATAGCGCAAATTTGAAATATATCGATATATCGCCCAGCCCTGGTGACCTAACTGTGATGTTCTTGTCAACTGACAACGATACCAGCGCGAGAGCGACTGAGATAAGAAATTGAGCAGGTGAACAAGCTGAACCAATTAGACATTCTCTGGCTGAACGCAAATACGTCCTTGTTGATACTTTGAAAGGAACTTTCTGTACGCATGTCAGCCGGTTATGGGTTATGACCTCATATTCTCTCCTTTTCACTCCGGCTGCCGACACCCGTCCCCTTTTTTTTTTTTTTTTTTTTTTTTTTACAGATCTGCATGATTCACGCAGGTCACATTTTCAGGTAGGAAAATCCGGAATTCCGGATTAATCCGGAAAAATCACATCCCTGACATAGGATTACACAATCCCTTTCGTCCTATAGATGCATCCTACAAAATATTTCTATCGTTCCCAGGACAGCCCTGAAAAAATATGTCACTGTTCCTACATACGTACTACGTAGCTGCAATGCTATTTACAACAATTTGCAAAGTTAAACACAAAACAAATGTTTCTACAAAAGACTAGCACAATGATTTATCTACAATTTACCATGGTTAATGCATCTCTGGCCATGGCACGTTCTTTGCGGCCACCTCCGCGGTCAGAGGCCAGGTTGAACCAGCGGATGGCATGCTGGTTAATTTCGTTGTCCGATGCGCTGCTAGCAACTTGGTTCTTCCGTACAGCCTCTGTTAAGAGAGAAAGTCAATTGGTTGATGGGCACAAATTCTGAAAATTACCTCTAAGTCAAGCCAATAACCCACTGTTTTGAGAAAAGCTTTAGATGTTGCCCATGTTTACTATTGTTGGTGTGGCAGAATACCTAATTTTGTGTAGACTTTCATTTAGTAACTCAAAACAAATGAATAACAAATCACAACTAGATTGTATTGGATCATCCTTAAATCAACCTTTTCAAGAGGAAGTGATTATGTGAATAGCCGGTTCTGTCATGACTGCAATCTATTTCAGCACTGCTATTAAAGTATTTTTTTTGGCTTTAAAGTTGCATCCCTTATATGCATTATAAGGGATTATATCCTGCATACAGGGGGGCTGGAGCCAATCCTAGCTTACAGTGGGCAAAAGGTGGGGTACACCCTGGACAGGTTGCCAGTCCAGTCCATTGCAGGGCCACACATAGTTGAACAACCACTCACACTCACATTCACACCTAAGGACAATTTAGGGACATCAATTAACCTAGCTTGCATGCCTTTGGACAGTGGGAGGAAGCCGGAGTACCCGGAGAGAACATGCAAACTCCACACAGAAAGACCGGGCAACTGGGTTTGAACCCGCAACCTTCTTGCTGTGAGGCGACAGTGCTAATATATATATATATATATATTAGGGGTGTAACGATACTCGTATTCGTATTGAACCGTTCGGTACGAGGCTTTCGGTTCGGTTTTCGGTACGCATTTTTGAAACGAACGGTTCGTTCAGTTAATTTTTCCTGCCGACCAACATTTCGTTATTCAAATGTAGGCGCGTCACGCATGGGAAGCGCATTCATAATGTAAGAGATGCTGCCGTGCGCGACCACAACATTGCCCAACATCAAATGGCAAATGTAATGTAAGCGGAACGAAACTGAGCTACTCGTTATTGTGTGGTTGTTTGGATGACGGACCGTTTATCAGTTTGGACCAATGCAGCGCGAGCCGATCTTCATCATCAGCACTGTTACTACACAGCCAAATCCAGTAGCCTTGAAAGAAAACATTTGAATTTGCCACTGAAGTAATAACATCGCTGCGAGATATAGTGAGAAACATTCACATTTCTCCGTTATTAACGGATCAAACAGCGCTGACGTGGAAACCAGGAAGAAACATTGTGCCATGAATGAACTATCCAGTGTCCACAGATCAGCAATCACCAAGGATTTACTGTATAACACTACTATCTGTAAGTTTGGCAGGAATAGTAGACTATAATTGTCACAGCCCTTCGTCTGCACCATCCTGTCTGCGTCTCCAGCACTACACTTCCCATGATCCTCTTGTCTGCACACCTGAACTCACTCCCTCATCAGCCTCCCGTTCAGCGTCCTGTTCATCTGTTTCACCTGTCTTCACCTCATTAACCCTGATTCCTCTGTGTATTTAGTTCTCCCTCTGTCAGCCTGTGTTTGTCGGTCAATGTTGAATGTTGCGTTGTGATACCCCGTCTTCCTGCCTGAATTTTGAATTAAATGTCTCTTTACCGAGATTCTGAACTCTGCCCGTTCTTCTGCCTGCACCCGCACCGTGACAGATCGACCGACCGCCAAATAATGGATTTTGCAGCAGTGCAACTTCTCCTCCTGGAGCAGGAGGATCAATCCCTCGAGGCCCACACACAGAGGTATTTGGACTTGATACCTCACGTTCACTATGATGATACCAGCCTCTGTGTGTTCTTCCGGGCAGGCCTAAACGCTGAAACCCAGGCACGCCTGCCCGGAGAGGGGCCTCGAGGGAACTTCGCGGCCTATGTGGAGTGGGTGCTGGTGTCATGTGGATCTTCTTTCACCGTGGACGACGGCACCAGCCCCACTCCAGCGCCAGAGACCGTCCAGCCAGAGCCAGAGCCCGAGACCGTCCAGCCAGAGCCAGAGCCCGAGACCGTCCAGCCAGAGCCAGAGCCCGAGACCGTCCAGCCAGAGCCAGAGCCCGAGACCGTCCAGCCAGAGCCAGAGCCCGAGACCGTCCAGCCAGAGCCAGAGCCGAGACCGTCCAGCCAGAGCCAGAGCCCGAGACCGTCCAGCCAGAGCCAGAGCCCGAGACCGTCCAGCCAGAGCCCGAGACCGTCCGGCCAGAGCCAGAGCCCGAGACCGTCCAGCCAGAGCCAGAGCCCGAGACCGTCCGGCCAGAGCCAGTGCCCGAGACCGTCCAACCAGAGCCAGAGCCCGAACTCCCTGCACTCCCTCGTCATCCTCCCTTCACCTTTGGACTTCCTTCCCTTGGCTCCGCCCCGTCATGTCACCCCCCCGGTTCAGTTGGACTCCTCACTCCCTCCAGTCACCCGTCAGCCCTCACGCACTCTGACCTCACCGTGTCCCTCCGTGCCCCTGTCATCACTTCAGTCACCAGAGCCTACGGTATCACCATGTTCCCTCAGTCCCTCATCAGCACCACATGTCGTCGGTCCCTCAGCTGCACCCTGGTCTCCTCTCCCATCCGCTCCGCCCCTGTCAGTCGGCCCCCTGGTGTTGTCAGCCCCACTACCATCGGCTCCACCAGGGGTCCTCCCTCCAGCTGCTCCGCCCTGGTCTCACCCTCCATCTGCTTCGCCCTGGTCTCGCCCTCAGCCTGCTCCGCCCTGGCCACGCCCTCAGCCTGCTTTGCCCTGGGGACGCCCTCAGCCTGCTCCGCCCTGGTCTCGCCCTCAGCCTGCTCCACCCTGGCCACGCCCTCAGCCTGCTCCGCCCTGGCCACGCCCGCATCCTGCTCCGCCCTGGTCTCGCCCTCAGCCTGCTCCGCCCTGGCCACGCCCTCAGCCTGCTCCGCCCTGGCCACGCCCTCAGCCTGCTCCGCCCTGGCCACGCCCCGCCCAGCCCCCAGTTCGTCCCCCCTCCTTCCTCTGTTATGCGGCGTGAGGTCACGCCTCCCGGGAGGGGGGAGTTCTGTCACAGCCCTTCGTCTGCACCATCCTGTCTGCGTCTCCAGCACTACACTTCCCATGATCCTCTTGTCTGCACACCTGAACTCACTCCCTCATCAGCCTCCCGTTCAGCGTCCTGTTCATCTGTTTCACCTGTCTTCACCTCATTATGTTTGATTCTTCAGTGTATTTAGTTCCCTCTGTTTTAGTCAGTCTTGGTCGGTCGATGTTTAATGTTACGTGGTGTTACCCAGTCCTCCTGCCTGTACCTGAACTTTATAATTAGTAAACCTTTTGTATTGAAGCCTTTTTGACTCAGCCTGTCTTCCTGCCTGCACCTGCACCGTGACAATAATGCTTTCAAGTAACATCACGTCAGCTGTATTTTGACATTATGAATACAATTGCTGCCCTCAAATGTTAATCTAAACTAAAATAAACCTTTGTTTATAACTACTACAATATTACATTTCATTTTGTCCAAAGAGCTGTTTTGTTTTATATGCTCCTAAGAAAAGTCAAGTATAGTTCCATCATTGCTCAAAGTTAAAAAAAAATATCATACTTTATGATGTTAGTTTTAATAAAAATATAATAAAAAAATTAAATCAAGGAAATTTCTCTGCCATTTATTTCTTTTTGCTGTAATTGAAACGTACCGAACCATACCGAACCGAACCATGACACAAGTGTATCGTATCGAACCGAACCGTGAATTTTGAGAACCGTTACACCTCTAATATATATATATATATATATATATATATATATATATTTTTTTTTTTTTTATTGTTCTCATCTACTAGTCACCCACACATATACTACAATATGTATAATAAAATACTTACTGATCAACAGAGTTTGTGTCAGCATTTCTTTAAAACTTCTTTTCCCGTTTACTCCTTTCCAATTAATCTGTTTGGCCACTGTGTTTGAGAAAATCCTCGAAAGTACATTCCAAGTTACTCTTTTGGAGTTCTGTCCTCCTACAGCACCGAGAGCCGAAATCTGACAATACAGAAAAGCATTTTAGTTCAACAGAGACAATTGCGCAAATTGTATGTCGGTTTACTAAATCATGAAACAAACAGTACAGTAAACAACAGTTTAACTTTGAAAAAAAAGGGTTACAACATTAAACTATCAATCTAAACGATATTCTCATTGAACATCTTGTTTTAAAGGAGCATTTCACCCATTTCAACATCAATCTTTATTGAAAGTGGATCATATATGTAGTCGAAATGTAAAATATTTATTTTAATTTGGTGCCCTCTTGACCGAGAAAAGACAGAAAATAACTTAAGGGCACATTTGTATGCAAGACAACAACTCCCACAATGCACCACATTGCACAGCTCTGCAAGCCACACCGACTAATCCAGAACAGCCAAACAGTGAAATCACTCTTTTGTCTACAAGGTAACGTTAGCTGTCACCAGAGTTTGAAATTCATTTCCCACAAAATGTCTAGGCGAGCAGGACGAGGGTGAGGAATGTGAGAGCGGCGCAAGGCCGGTGAAGATGGCTGATATATTGATTCAGTTTCTGCAAGTGAAGTCCCACCTACTGATCTGTAATAGGCCTGTAGTGTGAGTGGGTCCCACCCCCTGAAATAAGGAGGAGCTAATGTCTCTATACTTTTCAAATGTAACTTTCTGCTTATTATGATGCAAAATAATGATTTTTACGTCATAATAAGCAGGAAGTAAAACACTTAAATCCTTATTTCTCCCTCTCAGGGGAAAATAGAGAAGGTCCTCACTGCAGAACATGAAATCAACGGGGAGGAGTCGGATCCAGATCCAACTCCTCCCACCTTACATATACCTAAACCTACCCAGCTCCACCCTTGGATCCCTTAACCCACCCCTAAACCTACCCAGCTTCACCCCCTGATCCCTAAACCCACCCATACACCTAGCCAACTCCACCCCTCAGATCTGACTCCACCCCCTGGATCTTGTGTACTGCAATGAGGTGCTACTGGGAAAATAAGGGAATAAACCATGACCATTCAAAAATATGACTGGGTTTCTAAAGATACAAAGCTTAATGAAAATGGGTGAAGAGACCCTTTAAAATAAATCGATTTAATCATTTAATCGATTTAATAAGTCGATATACCACCTGGCCCTACATTGTTACCATACCATGTTTTGCTTAGCATGCGAGTTTCTAGCATCTTTAAGCCACTCCTCCAATTCTTCCACTTCAGACATGGTGGCCAGCGGAACACTGATATTTTGAGGCATCTCAGCTATAGGAGTTTCCGTCCCCATTCTTGCAGCAATGTTATTTACAGCAGCAGCCAGCTGCATCTGCTGCTCCTTGATATGTTCCAGCAAAGTTAGAATGTGCAGCTCAGCCGCTACAAAAGGAGTTAAGAAATAAATATATTAAAAGTACTACAGTGTTTCACATCTACAACGTCACACAAAGAGGAGCTGCAGGAAGCCGTGTTAGAGTCTTGTTCAGCTCACATTTATTTACATGTGAAGAGTTCAGATGCAAAAGCCTCTAAGTGCCATTTGAAATTTTGTTCTAGAATGACCATTTTTATCAAGCTTGTGTATTTAAGTTCTACCAGAAAGACTCGGGAGATAGAATGATGTAACAAAGCATCCATTTATTGACAGCCCAGCAAGCAATTATTGTCAAAGTTCTTTGGCGTAGGCCCCGTCCATAGATCGTAATCCGAGGGTAGCGGATCAGCATTTCCTGCCTGAAGACGAAGGCAGGGGCGCAGCCGATCCCCCGGGAAGTGTAGACGGGACCAACCTGGTGGTGGTGGGGAGGGTGGAGGTTGTTGTCACGTCGGCATCTGCGAACTCAAACATTTGTAAGTACCGATCTTTTATACCACAAGAATAAGAACATGATTGGATAGCCTGAACGTAACACGTGACGCGGTAATTAAGTCTTCCTGGCAGAACTTATGCTAAAGCTTTCATTTCAGTAATTTCACTTAAATGACAATTCATAGGTAATCTTCATTGTCATTTAAGTGAAATTACTGATCTTAAATATACAAGCTTGATAAAAATGATCATTTTAGAAGTAAATTTCAAATGGCACTTAGAGGCTTTTGCATCTGAACTCTTCATGTCCTCTCTGGTTTAACCATTTCAGACACGTAGACTATAACTGCAGAAAGGCTGCTGGCAGAAATATTTACAATACATCAGAAACAATCAGTTTAATGGCTCACTACCGTTAACACTCCTCCACTGATAAACACGGCATTAGCTTTGTGGCTTATTTAGCAAAGGGCAGCTACCTGCTGAATGTTGCTGGTCTGTGGACGTAAAGTATTACTATTTCATAGTCATGAAAATAAACTAAACGCATTAAATGAGAAATTGTATTCAAACTTTTGGCCTGTACTGTATATATATGCACACATACATACACACACACACTATACATCATATCCTTCTATAAGTATTTTTTTTTTCAAAATAGCTCATTCAAACCATGTAGTCGGTCACAGAGTTTAAAAAAAAATATATTTTACCAGAGCAAGGAACAGGTGCAGTGCCAGTCCTCCCCAGTCTAAAAGTGGGGACAAAACAATGGCCTTGATAGTCATTTGTAAGAGGAGTGGCAGTGATCCGGCGCCTAGGACTTGAGGGTATGCGAGACGTAGGGGTAGGAACAAGTGCCACTGGACCTGAGGAGACGTAGATTGAACATATTATTTTTGCAAACAGGTGAGTACTTTGATAGGAAAAGCTTAACAAAAACACTCTATTGTGGTACCTGTGTAACTACCACGATCACATTGCCTCAGATCAGGCAGAGGTCCAGCAGAAATCTGGCATGGAGGACTTGAAGGTATGAAAGGTGGAGGGACGGGAGCAAGTGGTGCAGCCGCTGAGGAGAAGGCATTTGAAAATTTCATTATTAGGGCCCAAAAACCGACAACAGATTTTAAAACAGCCCTTGTTATCTTATAGAAGAAAATTTGCAGCATACGTATATTTAAAGAAAAAAAAAAAGGAGACATTTAGAGGCAGATCAATGTAGTAGCAGAAAGTAGGTGTAAGAAAAGGTGTTACTTGAGCTGCGCAGAAGTAAGTTGACAGAAATGGACATTAAGGCTATGCATTACCCCTTTTCCACCAAAAAAGAACTGGTTCGGAACTGTTGCTGGTTCAAAGTTGGTTCGGAGTTGGTTCAGCTTCCGTTCAGAACCTGTTTTTTTTTTCCACTGACTAGAGCGCCCAGGGAACGAAGTTGTTACGTCACTGTGTACGTCGCCATACGTCTTAGCTAGACACGCTTGCAAGTACAACATTACTTCGGGATTATCTCTCAAATTTAGTAAGTGTGAGTGCGCTGGGGCTGGCACGTAACTTACATTCGCAGCCTGACTCATATGAGTATTCAATGTGCTGCGGCTCGCTGACAGCAACAGCTGGCTGTTTTGAATGAGATGACCCGGTTACTGTGAATGGGGAGCGCTTTATGAACGCGAGCAGCGCCGGGGACAGTGTGTCTGTTCGTGTGTATAAATCGCTCCGGATTATAAAGCGCACTGTCGTTTTTTGAGAAAATTAAAGACTTTATAGTGTGGAAAATATGACCCCGCACCCAAAATACTATCAAAACACTCAACTCAGCCTCTATTCTTCGTGAAAGATTGATAAAAAGAAGCAGATGAAACAAAAAAATTGAAAAAATGATATACTATCCGGCCAAATCACAGAGATGTCGATTCGCACGGGACTAATATTATCACAGGACCTCGGTGTTCTATTTATAACAGCAAAACGATAGTTTAGGCGAATGTGAGAGTGTAGCGGTGGATGGAATATTTAGTTGTAATCTCACCCTCACACTCAGTCATGATTTCGTGAGACAGCTTTTCACTCAACGGGAAATCTTGTCATGTTTTTATCTCGCGAGATCTCGTCACACCCCTAGTCCCTAAGCAAGACACTCAAGCCTAGTTGCTCAAGAGACGTACAACCTCTGAAATATATATCAATTGTCGCTTTGGATAAAAGCGTCAGCTAAATGAACAAATGTAAATGATATTTCATAACCAGGGGTTGAATGATCCTACTGCAGTACAAGAACATACCAGTGAAATGAAGATGTTCAGAATGATTCGAATCTGGCAGAGGTCTAGCTGAGAAGTTAGGAGTCGGTGGAGGAATAGTTGGTGCTGGGGTGAGAGAGTGATAAGTGGGTCTTGTAAAGTCGCTTTGGATAAAAGCATCAGCTAAATGAACAAATGTAAATGATATTTCATAACCAGGGGTTGAATGATCCTACTGCAGTACAAGAACATACCAGTGAAATGAAGATGTTCAGCATGATTCGGATCTGGCAGAGGTCTAGCTGAAAAGTTAGGAGTCGGTGGAGGAATAGTTGGTGCTGGAGTGAGGGAGTGATAAGTGGGTCTTGTATTGTTCCTCTCCTCTGGCTCACTTTCAGAGTCTGTATCACCAAAGATGAGCCTAACAAAGTAACCCCCCAAGCCCTAGTTAACAATGTGGCATTTGCAAACAGTGGCGCAAAAAGTGGGTATGCGCTATATGCGGCGCATAGGGGCGCAGCACAATGGGGGGCGCCAAAGCGATGGTAAAAAAAATAAATAAAAAAAAATAATTATATATAGGCTATATTGTATTTCTATATGTAGCTGCCGTTGTCCGTTTCTAAATCATTTCTGCATTCCTTCAATGTTATATAAAATTTTAGAGGACTAACAGCCAGACTAGAGTAGGCGCCCTCATGGAGAAGGGGGGCGGGTAATATCGCGACCGGGCGGGGGCGCCGTGAGCTCTGAGCGAGCAGGTACGAGTAGTCGAGTTGTCGTCGAAAAAGATGGATAAAACAAAATGCTGTGGGGCTAAAAATAGAAAAAGAAAGAGAGAAAAGGAGATGGCATGTCAATTGATGCAACAGCAGCTAAATAACTGCATGCATTGCTGAAAGCCAACAGGTAGGATTTAAAATATGACATCCAGGCATAGGCTATCTATATCTCGGTGGCCATCGGGACTACCGTGAGATTCCCGTTGGGCCGACGTGCTTTTCCTTTTTTAATTTATTTGTCTTAACGGCCCACAAAACTCATACATCGGCGGCCCATTTGTTTGTTTGTTGTTTGTTTTTGTTTTGTTTTTTGCTTAATTGGCGGCGCTGTGCTGGTGTAATGCATTGGTCAAAAAAGTCAGCTTTAGTGTTTTTTTCTGACACACTGGCCCATGAAATATGTCATTATGCGCAAGTATCTTTCAAGTATAGAAATTAGTGCAAAACTAATTATGAAAGTTTCCTTTATTTTTCTGTGCATTTGTTTTACAATAGCCTTAATGGCTATTACTATCATGGGATTAATATTATAACTATTATTATGTAGTAGTGTAATGTAGACAGACACTAACTAAAAGAGGTTCAAATTTTTCTCTGTTTAATTTGCACCCTGAATATGGGTTGGAGCTTTCAATTTTGAACTCTCAAAGTGCACCAGACTGCTGAATTTAACATTACAGAACACAAAATTTTCTTACGGGGGAGCATGCCCCCGAACCCCCCTAGAGAAACAGAGGTCCACCTACCACAGTTTTACCTAAAATCCTGTGAGAAACAATGGTATTGCTGTTACAATGGAGCTTAGTTTCTTCTTAGGGGGGGTTCATCAAGGTGGAGTAGCTATAGTTTAATTGTGTTAATAAACGACAATTTTGCACTTATTTTTTTCTGTTAGCTCTCATTTCTTCCTACTCAGTTATTACATAGCACACTTACATTACATTTATTTAATTTTTTCTTTTTCTTGGGGGGTGGGGGGGGGGGCGCTAAAATTGTTGCTGCATACCCCTCTGAAACTGGGTAGTTGCGCCCCTGTTTGCAAAAAATACAAAAATTAGTTAAGAAAATCAAAAATAGCCCCTGCAACCAACTTTAAAATGTGAGAAATGTTGTGCTAAATGTCGATACTCAAAATATTTAATTAGTCGACACTATTAGGTTGCACTAGGAATCAGTTACTACATTGAAATGCAAGATGCAATACCATTTCTACCTTTGTCATTTGACATTCAGTGCATATAGCTATATCAGAAAAAAGACTAAATGCTGTCTTGCAAAACTTCTTTGTGAGATCTCTGAATAATTGTATCTGACTGCAGTAAATGGTCTTTTGTTTTTAAATCATGTATATGTGCAAATACCAAACCTTGGCTTAATTTTTCTTTTCCTAGCTACTACTACTTCTTGTTCGTCATCTGTTTGTAGCTCCGATGTATTACAGGTCAGCGAAGCCCTCAGCTTTTCTCTGGCTTTTTGATAATCACCTGATCAGAATTGAGAAAAGATTAAATATTAGTTTATCTCTGCTGTTCTGTGTCTAAAATCACCGTTAACAATAAAGTGCATTAATAAATAAATAAAACAATGTGTGTGTTAAAAAAAATAAAAATAAAAATAATAATAATAATAATTAAAAAAATATATATATATTATATATATATATAAACATTTTATATATAAACATATTATATATATATAAACATTTAACCCAAGTGAGCAGTAAAGACAAAATGATACAGATAATGTGTGTGTGACCAGTGAGTGTGAAGTTGGCAGTTAGCTGTGAACGTAGCAAAGCATGTGTGCGAGTTAAAGGAGTAGTTTTTCACTTTTCAAAAAACTTTTGCTGATAATTTACTCACCCCCATGTCATCCAAGATGTCCATGTCTTTCTTTCTTCAGTCGAAAAGAAATTAAGGGTTTTGATGAAAACATTCCAGGCTTTTTCTCCATATAATAGACTTCAATGGGAACCAAACCCGTGTCCATTCTCAAACCATAGCCTATAGTTTGCCGATAGTGATGTGCTGATCGGCGGGCAGGGCGGGCCAATAAAACATTCCAATTAATCAAAGGTGGATGACAGATGAACCATTATAATGTGTTGAGTTTAATAAAGACACAGAAACTCTCATAATGGTAAAACGCAATGAATGTGCGTCTCGTTAATTTTAAGTTTTAAAAGGCTGTCTCGTTAATTCAGAAAAAACAGAGCAAAAAAAAAATTCCATGAAAATTAACTCATTAATTCAGAAAAACAGAGAAACATTTTTTTTCTCATGAAAAATTAACTCATTAATTCAGAAAAACAGAGCAAATTTTTTTTCTCATGAAAAATTAACTCGTTAATTCAGAAAAACAGAGTAGATTTTTTTTTCTTCAAGTGAATGCAATACGCCTCCGTATATATCTCTCTTATTTCTAATTATAACTTTTTTAGGCTACTCATTGCCACTGACACTTTCCAGCCAAGTATTTGTTTCCTCCCACTCTCGTCATTACTTTTGCACACACTTTCGTTTCAGAGGTGGACGCATCAAGACCCGCCCTCTTCTGACTCTGATTGGCCCTGAACCTGATGGTATATTAAACAAACCAATCAAACCAACAATGGCAGCGAGTATTACCCAATCAAGGGTAGAATAGGACGAGTCTTCACAGAATGCGGGGGTGGCATGATTTGCATGGGATCATGCGTTCGGAAATACGGGACAAACCGCGTCCCGTATTGATTCAAAACGGGACGCGCTGTTTACTTCACAAATACGGGACGATTCCGTATTTTAAGGGACGGGTGGCAACCCTAGTAAATTCTGCAACTATATACATTTGAAAAGGCAAAATATGTTGTTGTTATTTTTTTAAGTTTTAAGTTCTTTTAACTCAGATTTAATTTTTTTTTCTGTGTTATTTTAACCCCCCTCCACTTAAATACTATCTGTGATCATTATAGCAGCACAAGCACCGCTTGTGGAGTCTTGTTAACGACATAGCCTATCAGAAAACCAACCGGGTAGCTAATGAATTACATCTGCACTGGTGTGTTCACTGTTGTTTTATCTCGTGCTTGTAAAACATCTTTGCATAGCGAGTCAATAGCTAAGCGAGTGAGAGAGAACGGCAGAAAGTGATGTGGAAAGCGAGTAATAAGTTGTCAGTCTGGCAGTAATGTACAGATTAGGTCACAGTCAGGGAACTACACTGCGACCAAAATGGTCTCATATGCGACCTTTTGAAACCCCATTGCGACCCTAATTTTTAATGGGTCGCAAATGTATCACTGTTAGTCAGGGTTAATTAAAATTAAAGAAAACAAATTGATCTGAAATATATTAATTTTACATTCATTCAAGTACAATTACCAAACATATATCAAGGTCATTTTGTCTTTTTATTAATTTAATTAATGAACTATTTATATAAAACTATTGTCAGTGCACTACAACACTACAGTGCACTGTCAGTTCTATGCCTTTATTAATAAAACTTAAACAACTTAAAAATACGAGGCTTAAGAGATTTATAAAATGCCTTCTGCATTTTTGTTTTGCTTTTCAATCCATTGTACCGAAATCGTACCGAACAGTCTGAATGTCTGAACCGAGGTATGAACCCAACCGTGACTTCTGTACCGTTCCACCCCTAATGCAGTACAGTTTCATTATTATTCATTACTATCCAGAGAGCGGCTTACTATAAATAATTTGTGCCACCAAATCATGTTTTGCCACCAGTGGAAAAGGTTAGTGTAGTTCCCTGACAGTGTGTCTGTTATTAAAAGTCTGTCTGTTGTTTCCACAACTACTGCAAAGTGAAGGCGATTAGCACTAGCTAACATCTTCCTGACCTTCAGACCTTCGGACTGGATGACGAGGACTGGACTACACACACAGTTTAAGGGGAAAGTACATAAACACACACAATATTACCAGGGTTAAATAACCAAAATAACAGATTACGTCGGTTAGAGGCTCTGAATTTTTAGATATTCGTTATAGTGATGGGAAGTCCGGTTCTTTTCCGCTAACCAGTTCTTTCGGACAGTTCGTTTTAATGAACCGGTTCAAAAAAACGGTTCACCAGTTCTTTTACGTCATCACGTAATGACGTCAATTCTATCATCCCGGCGGATAAAAATACTTCAAATTAAAGGGCATTTGTAATCACAACTTCAGTTAAATAATAGTATGCATTGTCATAATCGTCTCGGGTTATGACTATAACCCTTGTTCCCTGAGAAGGGAACGAGACACTGCGTCGATAAAATCGACTCTTTGGGGACGCTCCCTAAGCGTGCGCCTCTGAAGTATGAATGAAACTAATCCAATCCTGATTGGTGTTGCGTCGTGACGTAACATGTGACGGCATACCCGGAAGTATAAAAGTGACGCTGTCACAACACACACTAGCCTCGCGATGAAGCAAGACGCTCAAGGGTCTGAAAAAGGGGGCGTGGCAACACGACGCAGTGTCTCGTTCCCTTCTCAAGGAACAAGGGTTATAGTCATAACCCGAGACGTTCCCCTATCGAGGGAACTCAACACTGCGTCGATAAAATCGACTCTTTTGGGAACGAGTACCCACTAGGCCACGCACCGAACAGACCCGCCCCAGAGTGAAACTGATTAGGCACTCAGCAAGGGCCGAGTACGTGTGCACCGGGCGTACTGGGAAGGCTGAGACTGTAAAACCTGATGAAAGTATGCGGGGTAGCCCAGCCGGCTGCCTCACAAATCTCCTGCAGAGGTACTCCCGACAGAAGGGCCTAGAGGAAGCCATGCCTCTAGTCGAGTGAGCCCTTAAGGCCAAAGGTGAAGGAACCCCACGCACCTTGTAAGCCTCAGTAATAGCCTGGACAATCCAGTTACTTATAGTTTGTTTGGTCGCCGGGAGCCCCTCTTAGGTGACCCAAAGCATACTAACAACTGGTCAGATCTTCTCCAAGAAGCAGACTTTTCCAAGTATACACTCAAAGCTCTGACGGGGCAGAGCAAGTGAAGCCTCTCTTCTCCCGCCGACACATGAGGTGGAGGATGGAATGCCTGAAGGACTACAGAGCGAGCCGTACTCGAAGGAACTCGGGTGCAAAAAGGCCTTTACTTTGCCAGGGGCAAACTCCAAGCAAGCTGGCGTTACCGCCAGGGCCTGGAAATCTCCCACCCTCTTAAGAGAGGTAATCGCTAAGAGAAAGACCATTTTCAGCGTTAAGTCCTTAGGCGAAGCCGACTCTAAAGGTTCGAAGGGAGCGAGGGACAACCCTTCCAGAACTATTGCCAGATCCCAGGCAGGCACCCTGGACCTGATCGCCGGCCTCATCCTCCAAGCACCACGGAGAAACCTAATGACCAATTGGTGCCTCCCCAGAGGTCCACCATCTACTGGCGCGTGGAAAGCCGAAACGGCAGCCACGTACACCTTAAGAGTGGACGGGGAGAGACCCGCAGAGAAACGATCCTGAAGGAATTCCAGAACTGAAGCCACTGGGCAGTTTACTGGATCCAACCTTCGTTCTCCACACCAAGTGTGAAACACCTTCCACTTGAGGCCATATAATCTCCTGGTAGATGGGGCCCTAGAGCTAAGTATGGTTTCAACCACCTCAGCTGATAAGCCAGCATTTAGGTACTGAACCCCCTCAGAGGCCAGACCCACAGCTTCCACAACTCTGGGCGAGGGTGGAAGATTGTGCCCTCCGCCTGAGACAATAGATCCCTCCTCAGAGGAATCGGCCATGGCGGAGCTATGAGGAGTGATATTATATCCGAGAACCATACTCGTGTCGGCCATCTCGGGGCAACCAGAAGTAGACTGATGCCCTCTTGACGGACCCTCTCCAGGACCCCTGGGAGCAGAGCGATCGGGGGGAAAGCATACAGGCGAAGCCTCGGCCAAGCCTGTACCATGGCATCCAACCCCAGCGGGGCTGGATGTGAGAGGGAGAACCAAAGTGGACAGTGGGACGTCTCTCGAGACGCAAACAGATCCACTTCCATCGGTCCGAACCTCTCCCATATCGACTTCACCACATCCGGATGAAGTCTCCATTCCCCGGGCCTCAGCCCCTGCCTCGACAGGATGTCTGCTCCCCGATTCTGAACCCTGGGATATACATTGCCCTTATTGACAATATCTTTCCCTGGGACCAAAGGATAATCTGATGCGCCAGTTTGCACAGAGGGCGCGATCTGAGTCCCCCTGTCGGTTCAGATAGGCCACCACTGACGTATTGTCGTCCGTATAAGGACGTGGCGACCCTCGATGTCTGGGAGGAAGCTCCTCAAAGCCTTGAATACCGCCATCATCTCCAGGCAATTTATATGCCAAGTGCGATGATGGTCCTGCCACAGACCCCTGGTAAAGCGGCCGTCCATGACCGCGCCCCAGCCCGTAAGGGAGGCGTCTGTCGAAACGGTGGAATAATGTTGGATGCCGCTGCCATGAGGCCCAGCATACTTTGAAAGTGTTTCACAGTGACGGCCTGACCTAGCTTCACCCTGGACACCATCGCCAGAATTGACTCGATACGTGCGGGAGACATACGTGCCTGCATTGTAATCGAGTTCCACACGACTCCCAAAAAGGTCGTGCCCTGGGACGGTTCTAGCACACTCTTCTTCAAATTGAGTCTTAACCCCAAATTTGAATATGGCCAAGAACGACATCTCGATGCCGAACTGCCATCTCCCGAGACTGGGCCAAAATAAGCCAGTCGTCGAGATAATTCAATACGCGAATCCCCTGAAGTCTCAGTGGAGCAAGGGCCACGTCCATACACTTGGTAAATGTGCGGGGAGAGAGTGCTAGGCCGAACGGAAGAACCCGATATTGGTATGCTTCGCCCCCGAAAGCGAACCTCAGGTACCTCCTGTGACAAGGAAGGATGGAGATGTGAAAATAGGCGTCTTTCAGATCTATCGTGACAAACCAGTCCTCGGATCTGATTTGACTCACGATTGTTGGAATGGTCAACATTCTGAATTTGAACCTTCTCAGAGACCGGTTCAACACCCTGAGATCCAAAATTGGCCTTAACCCCCATCCTTCTTTGGAACTATAAAGTACCGGCTGTAAAACCCGGACTCCCTGTCTACCGGAAGAACACGTTCTATGGCTCCTTTCGACAGCAGAGTCTGTACTTCTTGTTCCAACACCTGAGCCTGCTCTGGGACCACCGCAGTGAGCACCACCCCAGAGAACTTGGGGGGGCGGTGCGCGAACTGCAGTCTGTACCCAACTCGTATTATCTGCAGGACCCATGGAGATATGTTGGGAAGATGATACCATCCCTCTACAAAATCTACTAAGGGTACCAGCCTCTCGAGGCTGGCCTCTGGTGTCTTTTCGCTGGAAATTGATGCGGCCCGAAGCGCTGTTAACGGCGGACCTGCATCTTTTCCTAGAGGGCCCCGCTGTGAGAACAACCTCGGTTGTCTCACTGCGGAGGGGGCAGCCCTCTGAAGTCCTGCCTTGGCTAGGACCTCTTTTCCGAAGTCCTCTTAGCCTGAATGACGTCCCTCAGGTCGCCCCTCTGGCCGGAGGACTTCGGTTTTTGGGAGCGTTTCCTCTGTTGCCAAGACCCCGGAGGGGGGGCTCTAGAGGAAACGCTCTCCTTCTGCTCTGCCCTGTGGGAGGAGCTGGCTGATGGCTGGGGCTGATTGCTTTGCCCCCCCCTACTAGATTTGGCCTTCGCTTTCCGGGGGAGGTACTGCTGGAACGCCGCAGATTGTTTTCTCGACTCCTGAAACCTGTCGACAACCGAATTAACGGCGTCGCCGAACAGGCCAGAAGCCGAAAGCGGCGCATCCAGCAGGAAGGACCTATCCTTTTCTTTAATACCGGATAAGTTCAGCCACAGATGCCTCTCCGTGGCCACCATGGCCGCCATAGAGCGGCCAATAGCGCTGGCCGCTTCCCTAGTGGCCCGGAGAGACAAATCTGCGGCCTTCCTCAACTCCGCGACATCTTCAGGAGTAGGCCCCTCCCCCTCATCCAAATCTTTCAGGAGGTCGGCCTGGTATGCCTGCAAAATCGCCATCGAGTGCAGACACGAACCAGCCCGACCCGCCGCCATGTAAGCCCTGCCCACTAATGCAGATGTCTCCCTGCAGGGCTTACTAGGCAACACCGGGGTCTTTAGGGAAGACGCCGATTCGGGAGAGAGATAGCTCGATAAAGCCTCCTCCACCTTCGGCATCTTCCCATATCCCATATCTCGAGCCCCCACAACATTGCTGTAATCTATTACATTGGGACTCGAAATACGGGACGAATGCGGTCTTTCCCACGTTCTCGAGAGATCTCTTTATGGAGATCGGGGAAAAACGGCAGACCCCGGCGGTGAGGCTGTGACCTGCGCTGCAGGTAACGCTCGTCCATTTTTACTGGTGACTTGCGTTTCCTGCTCATGTTGTGGCCAGCTGATGTTTAGTCTGGCCACAGCGCGTGTCACAACCTCCACCAGCTCCTCATAACCCAGGCCGCGTGATGGCGTGCTGAGATCACGGTCGTCCGCATCGATGCTGAGCACGTCCCCTTCCTCAGAAGTAGACAGCTCAAGCACCGGGACCTGATCGCGGGTAGGAGAAACCGCAGCGCGGGCTCCCACACCACTCTCAGAGGCCGCGGGATCAGCCGATGGCGAGCGAGAAAATGCCTTCAGCATTCTCACTCTCCTCCGCCAGATCCCGCTGCGAACCCCAGGATCTCAGTCGCCGCATCGCCTCGACATATCGGGACCGGAACCCTGGGGAACGCGAGCCTGACCGTGCTCGTCAATGCACGCCAGCCGGGAGCGCAGCACTCTAATAGGCAAAGCCTCACACATTTCACAAGCAGCCCCCTCGAGAGCTGCTGTGCGTGCTGCACTCCCAAACAATACACACAGAGAGAGTGTGCGTCCCCACCCGTGATGAAACGAGGGCAGGGATGCACACACCTCTTGAATTGCTCACTGGCCATACTTTCTTCTTTCAATAATAAGACAAACAACACCAAATAAGACAGACAGTTTCAACATAAAGCGCTTGCTGAAGAGCGAAAGCTAGTGTGTGTTGTGACAGCGTCACTTTTATACTTCCGGGTATGCCGTCACATGTTACGTCACGACGCAACACCAATCAGGATTGGATTAGTTTCATTCATACTTCAGAGGCGCACGCTTAGGGAGCGTCCCCAAAGAGTCGATTTTATCGACGCACGCAGTGTTGAGTTCCTCGATAGGGAACATCTTGGATAAGTTTCTTACATTTACATTTGAAAACGAACCCTGCTGCAGCCTAGGCGATGTGCTAACGCGGATGTTTTACATTTTAAATATATAAAATGCATAAATGGTCTTCATCATTTTATTTGTTATTAAATAAACTTACATTTCGCCGATTCGCCCTCTCATTTAAGTCCTGGGTTCACCCGTACTACTGCGTGCTCGTATATCACGCATCAGGATCAGCCGGCCGAAAGAAAGTTCTGTTCAAGACGGTGCTATCACGCTATGCGCAGTATCTCCAGCTCATCGGTCTCCGTATCGAACGTGTCCGAAAGAAGAAACAGTTCTCGCGTTTCTGTACTAGTGATTCAAAAGAACTGCAACAACCAGTTCTCGACCGAGAAGCAATACATAGGCCTGTGTGTGCTGACCTGAAACCTGATACAGTCCACAAAACTAAAAAATCGATGC